AGTAACGTTGGGGCTGCCACACGAGCATTCCGGAATCCTACCACTACTACATGTACCATAATTTCTTCAAGGTTAGCTGGAGCGTAGAGTTTTTCTGCGTTCAGGTACATTTTACTAGTGACTTACAAAACGCATATGTACAACCTATCCTCAGTAGTTTTGGACAGAGAGCAACCGGAAAGCAACTGTCCGTATTCATGTTGAGCCCAATTCGAAAGGCACCCACTACCACTGGCCTTGATGACCTCGCGGTACGGTGACATGATGGCCCCTGCTGTCTAGATAACCGTCACCATCAAAGCCTTGTATGATCCTAGAGAACAGAGACATGTTGGTTTTAAGACCAGCTAAGGATACTCGGGTTGTTATGAGGTAGGTCAGAATTATAAAAGCAAAATGTAGTATAGTATGAAGAAACACAAAAGCGGAACCACGGTAAATCAAGTCGAAATGGGGGTGACCAACCGACTAACATTGGTGTTTCAGCACAAGGTTATAACAGTGAACGGTGTACAGCGCCCTTAAAACCAATTGGTGCATGTTTAATCCCGTCAAATGTTACGGCCTGCCCAAAGATTCACATGTCTAACACACAATCAAGGCCGATATTCTCCGCACCACTAGTTAGCAAGTTGACAGGCGATACACCAGTGAGACAAATGATAGCGACTCGAGTGTTATTTTTTACGTGCATGCGAGTTTCTATTCCCCATCAAATATTAACTATCGCCTGCACTCGTTCCGAAGACCACCCGTCCGTCGCTCTTCCTGTCGAACGCATTTTTTGTCTCTCTTCCCAGATCTTGGGCACAGCTTACATAGTATAATAGCATCACGTCTACACAATAGGCATTGAGTTTCATTACAAAACCTTGGAAATTTAACCGGGTTACAGGAATATGTACAACGATGTAAAAAGTTGTGACACAATCAAAGAGGAAAACACATTTTTCCGCACGCCGCAGTCTTCCATTTTTGTCACTTTTAAAGGGGCTAGTATTTTTGGCATTTGGAAGTTCACGCGCAATTGTTTCCAACTACAACCGGTTTTGTGCCATTCACTATCAAGTGTTGTAAGCCATCGGCATTCTTTATCTTTCAGTCCCAAACGGTAAGGCGTACCGGTCCAGCGATTTCATACTTTGTCGCTATAGCTGGATTCGCCTGACACCCCACGTGGCCTCTTCCAATGCAGCCAATGTGTGCACAAATATGCCGTGGCTTTGGTAATCGCTCTCCAGACATGCGCAGAAACGTGGGTCAAACGAAACTCAACTGACGCCAAAGAACAAGCTCACAGAGCGGGTGATCACTTTCCAGCAAAAATGTTCACGTAAAACGACTGCTTCACCTGGCGCCTACCCAATTTCTCAGTGGCATGAAACCAATTTGATCACGATTGTCATCAGCCACAGGTAGCGCACATCAGTCCAAGAGTGTCGAATCTATTTGGAGCACACACCTGGATTCCGAGCCATGGGTCCTAACTTGTCACCCACGCGTAGCGCTCACTCTTATTGCTTCAGAGAAGCACCCAACTTCTAAGCTTCTTATCTGTAACTGGAAAAACTCACAGGTCTGCGATACAAAACTGTACCATAACAAACTTGGCCCCACCAATTAGTTAGTAATGAATATTCGATTGCTGCGCCGATCGCTGACTGGGATCATTTCAAGTGTGCCATGGTTAATGCCTTTGACGCACTGCTGTGTACTCGACTTAAGGCGTCGTAACTGTGTATGGAACTCTGCGGTATCGGTCATCTTGATGGAGGCACGGAAACAGATTTGATGAGCACTTGATTTCAGCGTATCCGTAACCTCCCCTGAAACGACGTCTGACAGGAATCTTCGAGTTGACCGGGAACGTTGGTAGATGGGCGAAGGCCCATGAGATGGAGAAAACACCAGCGCTTTGAAAACAGCTGAGTGCTATCTCCAGCTCATCCGGAACACGGGTCCGAGAAAAGCATCAGTTAGCGTGGTACTGGGCTGAGAGAAATATGGACCACTTTGATCCATTCTCAGCTTCGTCGACTAACCCGTTAAGCGGGACATTTGAGGATCAGTTCAGCAGGCCTGCTCCAACACTGCCGCTTGCGAATCAACTGGACCTACATGGGCAAATGTCACACCTCACACTTCTGAATGAGATTCTCGACATGTGCTCGCCGTGGTTAACACGAAACAAGTCTCCAGGACCCGACGACCCTTCCTCCATCTGTGCTGAAAGATGGCGGTGACTGTTGACCTGGATTTGATTCTCTTTTTAACACGATTTGCGACACTAAATAAGTACCTTCATACTGGCGACCTTTCAAAATGTTATGCCCAGTCTTAAAGTAGGGTCAGAGTACTTTGTGCGAAAATCATCGAGGCATTAGCCTTATTACCATTCACCAAAACTTCTCACGAGTATTATTGTTGTACAAGTTACTGGTCCCCGTAATAACCGAATCCCTGAAAGCCATTGTGATTGCATCGACTACATATTTACTGTTCACCAAGTTTTAGAGCAGAGACACATACACTTAACCTACTATGATGGTTCTCCTTGACTTGAAAGTCGCCTTCGACTCTGTTGACCGCGCTAACTTGTGACACTGCCTATCCGTGAAAGGAGTCCCAACTAAATTGCTTTCCATTCTGAAGTCCCTCTACCGGTTTTCCCGAGGCCGTGCAAGGGTCTACGGAATAGGGTCTACTGCGTTCCACACGACAAGTGGGGTTCGCCAGGGTTTTCCTATATTTCCTTTCCTTTTCAACTTTTTTATCGAAATGATCATGAACGACTATGTTCTCTCAGACTACTGGAGTGGATGTTCTCTCCAGTGACTTACTGACAACTCTGGAATATGCGGACGATATAGCTCCTCGTGAGTTTGACGCAGAGGCTATTCAAACACTGCTAGAGACTGAAGCGTAGCGCTACACGCTTCGGCATGTGCTTTGCACCTTCAAAGTGCAAAGTGCTGTTGAATGACTGGGCCGACACACTTCCGGTTCCAACTTCCACTGAACAACCACTTGAAGTGGTGCATCGGTTCACTTACCTTGGTCGCTGTGTCATCTCTGATGGTCACATCACTGGGGAATGGTATTTCGCGTATCGGCAAGGCCCGTGTGGCTTTCCTGAGACTCAACCATCTATGGAGACGGCGGAATATCAGCTTGTCAGTGAAAAGTAGGATGTATAACGCTGCGATAAGGCCAGTGCATCCTAGACCTGGTCAATTCGCACTGAAGACATGAAACGCTTGACTGTTTGACCACCGGTGTTTGCGAAGTATTGCTCACGTTTGGTGTGAACACCTGGTGAGCAATGCTGAGGTCCGCCAGTGGGATTTCGGCAAGAGACCTTTCTGGCACATCTCTTTGAATGTTCGATAAATTTTAGTCGATTGCATTGGCTCGGGCCATATTCTATATATCCCGTTGACCCGCTTCCAGCGGTCGTGTATATTCCGCCATGGTCACACACCAAGTTGGTGCGAAACCTCTAGGTGGCCAGCTCCATGACCTGGTCATACTCTCGATGAACAATCATTGACCTGAGAGACTTGCGTACAGGCTGGTGCGTGCCATCTTCTTGGATGTGAGCCTCGGGACTGTTCTTAGCAATGGTTGGAATCCGTGTCAGACACGGCGCAGCCAAGAGACCAGTGTCGTGCCTGCATTTGTCTTCTTTCATATGATTGTTAACTTCCGTGCCATTCTGCTTAGTCCAACGCATTTTCTTCCTGTGTTCCTTTTCTCTACATTCTATTTGCACCCAACCCCACTATCCTTTCGGTTTAGTTTATTGTTATTCTTGCCGTGTGAGTCGTGACAACCGGATTCACTGCACTTTGATGCTCTGGTCGTAAGTTGATCAACTGAACTGAGCTTGCAAATGATGCGTTGCCTGGTATCAGCTTACGTAGTGCTAAATTTATATACTGTTCATCCGGTTGTACTATCCGATTACGATATCCCCAGATCTGATTCTCTCAGCGGTAAGCGTTCAGTGGGAAGGCCTAAAGACTTACTGATCTGTGTAAACGGCACTTTTTCAAGACAGCATTATTGGGACACATTATTTTGATCTAACTTCGCCAGTTCCCCACAAATGGGGCACTCGGTGGGTCGGTTACCCAAGTCGTCCGGACCCAATCACATACACCACTAGTCTAACGCGCTAGCCACTGTGCTCCGTGGAAGGAAGTCACACTGAATTTCTGTGCTTGACTTGGTCCATAACCTGCGGGTTACTTAGTTACCTTAGTGTCGTAATTTGTCTGTAATTTCCATGTAAAGAAACTTCAACACCGTATTCCACGACTCCACCTGTCCACTTTCCATCGACAGTTGCCTAGATCACCTTTGTACACCAACTAATAATTACAACGTATTTTACACTACCCTGTTGGGAACGAGGATCATTATCCATTGCTCGTGTGCTTCAGTATTTTTCTTGCACGCTTTTGTTCACATTTTGCGCAATTAAGTGATTAGGACTAATATCATCGACCAATTCTACTGGAATTCATGTGTTAGCTGTGACTTCACCGTTTTCCTCTGTTGCTGCCCTCTTGAAGGGGACAAATGCTAAGTTGGTTCTTTCCCATGACTTCGCATTTTGGTTTGCTGGTTGTATGTGGCCGGTGCCCTGCTTTTTGCGATTAGACCAGATGAAGCCGATCTGAACGCTTATTTCCGCTTCAGCGTCTCCTACTTCGTAACATTTCTGGACCGGATAACGCCACCCTGGGGATACTTCGGTATAATGATAGGCTTTGTCGCATCCACATGTCTTGTTTCCTACCTGATGCCATTCGCTTTATTTCGGAAGCTTTGTAGCATGAAAAAGCCGGATCCATCACTTGTTAGTTACTACCCGTTATTCTTATTCAACACTTTTAGCCGCTCGCTTGCGTCCGTGTTCAGCATTGCTTTGAATTCAATAAACGGCGTACAAGGCATTTACTTATGAACGCCTAAACTCTTTCCCTTTTCCAAAGCATATAGACATACTTCCAGAAAACGCGCACATTTTGGATGGCACTGTCACTGATTTAGACGCTGAATGCGCCCGTTTTGAGGAAAAGATTAAATCCGCCGGAGGCGTTCATTTGTTCATCGGTGGAATTGGAGCAAGTGGTCACATCGCATTCAACGAGCCTGGCTCAAGTCTGGTCTCGCGAACCCGGTTGAAGACGCTTGCGAAAGAGACCATTGTGGCTAATGCCCGATTTTTCGGCAATGACCCCTCCAAGGTACGTCTTCACTCTTAGTGCTTTGGTGTTACCCCAGTCTCACATATCCTTCAACGGGTATCGTTTGCTCAAACGACAGGAGATGGCATATGTTTTGCTATTGAGTTCTCATTATGCCAGCTGTTCACACTTCCGAATTACAGTAAAACCTCAGGCGACTGGACCGAGGGAGTCAACATGGAGAGGTGGTCAATTTACGGAGGTTCTATGCCAAAACTTAGCGTAACCTACTTTCTCGTTGTGAGTAGTATAGTATGCAATTTATTTTCACCTAGACTCGTTTTAAACACATTAGACAAGGTCTCACGTAAGGACAAATGCAGTTCAACCATACAGTGTTATAATAAATCAAAACGAGTCTGCATCTCGCAATTTAAAGCATTTTTTGAGAGCAAAGGCAATCTTTGTATATTTCTCTTATCACAATGGTACCTTAAAGAATGCGCTCTCAGCACATCCCACCTTACTTAGCATGCTTTGCTTTTCCACAGCAAATGATTTCAGTTGCATTAAAAGTTGTCTGACTTCTTCTTTTGGACTTGCCCTGATTTCCAACACATCGTCACAATCCTTCCATTTCTTCATCAGCATCATCAGGTGTTTGTTCTTTATTTCCGTAGGAGGTACCGCAGTCAGTATCTTTTGGAAACTATCCTCTGGGTGTGGCTCACTGCAAGGTACAAAGTCATTATTCATTTCAACAAACTCTTTGCAATCTGTTCCGTCGAATTCTGTTAATGGAGATGGAATGTCTGCTAAGGCGACGGCATCCAGCTCGAGAGGTTGAACAAATCCGGCTTTTCTGAAACACTTCTGTATTATTTCTGGTTGCACTTTGAACCAAGCGGAAAGTATTTGAAGCACAGAATCCAAGACATTAACTGAAGCAACAGATGAGGTTCCTTTCGCATGAGAACCATTAGTATGCAATTCAGCCATAGCCCATTGCATGAGCTGAACTCGATAGTGCATTTTGCTTATTTTGATCATCCCTTGATCCAGGGATTGGATTAATGAGGTCATGTTTGGAGGCAGGAACTTAAGTGTAATATTTGTGACATTTTTTTACGTGGGTGTGCCTAGGATAGTTGTCCATCGTTTGCATAATTAAGCGTTTCTTCTCCATCATTTCTTTGTCGGTCATTATCATTATACACGTTAGCTAGAGGTGGGAAACACCTCAGCTACTGTACCGCAATACATAGAAGGAGAGAAAAAATGCAACAGGTGTGAACCAGCTGAGCTACCGGTAACGGATGAACATTGTTCCGATAAGCTACCAGCCGGCTACTATGCAGCAAAAAAAAACCATGCAAAATTATATAAGGCTAAATAGTGAGATTGTGCTTAGAGGTGGAGGCTAAGTGGGATGGGGTGGGACAAAGAAACTCACAGCACGAACGCCACTGCCGTCGGCTCCTAGCCATATTAGCAAGTGTATCCAGCCAAACGTGTCCATCGTCTTTCGGACCCGAGAAGCTCCAACCGAGGCCAGCTTCAAAGTGAGGACCTTCGCTCCTCTCGACCAAGTCATCGCTTGACCACCCCTCCTTCTATCCACACCCTCGGCGCGCAACAACGCACGTCGCGGGAGTCGATGGGCTGATATGCGTAACACCTGGCCGAGCCATCGGAGCCTTGTTCTTGAAATAACTGTGCTTAGCGGTTCATTATCTTTTCCTGTGCCGTAACCAAGGCGTCGAACACGCTCGTTGCTTACTCGGTGTTCTCACCAGATGTGAGCTAAATTGCGAAGGCACCGGTGGTCGAACGTAACTAACCTCTTCTGATCCGCTGCTTTAAGCGGCCAGGTTTCACAACCGTACAGTAAGGTTGAACGTACCGCTGCATTATGCGCTCTACTCTTCAGGATGAGAGTGATGTGCTGGCGCCAGAAGTGGCGAAGGTTAGCAAAGGCGCCTCGGGCTTTTGCTATACGGTTCGTGATCTCATCTTGTCGATACATTTGATCCACTCCTCAACTATGCTAGCAGTCATCCTCGCGGATTGGTTTACTCTCCAGGTGACTAACATTTTCAGGATTTAGATTTTTGAACACATGTGGTCTAGCTGGTTTACCAACGACCAGGGGCTTTAGCTTATTTTCGGTAAACTCTCATCAGACCCAAAGGTTTACATAGCACTGATTGTGGGGAAAGCGTCAACTCGGGCTGGGATTGACTTCTGGGCTGTTTGAGCGATCAAAATCGATACATGAGTAAAATGAACTAAAAAAAGTTGCCAGCTGTACACCGTAACGGCCATGCGCTGCCACACGATCACCACCAGTCACGCGTGGGCTGAGTATACCGCGAGGACGCCTGCTCCTACGCGGATTGGAACTGGTGACCTTATGGTTACAAACCAGACGCGCATGCCACTCGGCCACCGGCCGACCAAAAAAATCCATAACTTGAGACAGGGATACAGATGACCAGCCAAGTTAACTAAAAAACTGTAGTCCGAAGTAAATAGGCAGGTAAGGTAACAACCAAATCACTAAGTAACGGTGTCAGTTGGCCAAGTTAGTAGTATTGGCCGTATGAATCATATTTTATACAAATAATTCCGACTTCAAATGGTGGGTGTAGATAGCCTAGGCGATGAATAAGAGCTGTTTGCGGAATCCTTGGGAGACGTGTTCAGGTAGTGAGTAGATGACTGAAGTCATTCTCTGAAACTGAATGGCCACATTCAAGGAGGTGCGACATTATAGAGCTGTCTGAGGACCTCATTTCGCATTTGTAAAATCATTCCCAAACGCAAAACCCTTGAAGAGACATGCGCTCAATTATGTGGATACCATCCGCGTTAAGATGTCGGAGCTGGAGAGATTCATTTCGCAAAGATTACCGGTGGTGTTATGCCTGCCTGAAGACTTGAGTCAACCTTTTGAGGAATATGTAGAACTGGTTAAACAGAGGATAGGAGTTAGCAAACAAAGGAATTTAGTTAGCACGATTAATAGCCATGCCTCCCAGTTGACATTTCCGAACCACCCGCAGCGTTATGTGCTTAACTTTTCTAGTGTAATACTAACCCAGAGGCAGCTTAATATGTTATCATTGGGTCCAAAGTTTTGCATTCCATGTAAGAAAGTAGATCAGGTGGCTTTAGAGATGCAGTATGAAAGCCTACTTGCTCAGACTAAAGACCTGCTCTAAACCTCATCAAGTGGTCTCGAGAATCTAAAATCTAGCCTAGTTCATAGTTGTCACGAATACGTTAGGACCAAACTATCTATTAATAGTATTATCACTAGGGAACAAATTCAATCACTTAAAGAGCTACGGTTAAACAACGAATTACTCATCTCTAAGCCAGACAAGCGCTCCGGCATAGTGCTTATGGATTATATCCATAAAATGCAGCACATTCTCAGTGACGAGAGTAAGTTCCAGAGGCTCATGGTAGGAAAAGACAACACAGTGGAGTTAGAGAAACAGCTGACCGGCTGCATCAGGCGAATGATATAAGCCAAACTCATCACGAAGAACGAATTCGAAAAGCTGAAGCCTTCAGGTAGACACCTACCGAGATTATATGGCCTGTCTAAAGTTCACAAGGAAGGCGCCTTAATGCACCCAATCGTGGACATGGTGGGTTTATAGGGATCTCCAGGTCAGTACAGGTTCTCTCCAGCATTTGTTAGCCCAATGGATGGTGGCGAAGCTGCAGTCGTTACGGAATTTGGTTTACACTTGCTGCTTGAGAGACACGTTCGAATTCATTGAGAGGATATCTGAAATCAATTTTGATAACAAAAGGATATCATTCGATGCGCGATCGCTGTTCACAAACATTTCATTGCTCGAAACCGTGGATTACGTATGTAAGCTCGCTCGGAAACTGTCTATATACCCAACTTTTCCGGAGAATTTGCTGAAGGAGGTGCTACTTCGTTGCACCTTCAATGTTCAGTGCACCTTCAATGGTGAAATGTACCGTCAGATTGACGGGGTGGCCATGGGATCTCCTTTGGGGGGCGATGCTGGCTGATATTTTCATCGCGAAATTGGTACATGGCCCACTTACAACTCACATCGGTGGAACAGAAATGTGCGTACGGTATGTTGATGACACCTTCGTACTTTACAAATCCGAAAAGCATGCGGAACAGTTACTGCAAGTTTTCAGTTACGTACAGGAGAATCCCCACTTCGCTTGTGAACACGAATTCGGAAACCGGTTGCCTTTCTTGGATGTAGAGGTTATCCGTAACTCGGACGGATCATGCAGCAGAAAGGTACACTGAAAGTAACTGGAAAATTCCCATTTCATTATCAAGAACAAAAGCGTAAGTAAACAAGTTTTTTCGATGATTCATCTTCATCATATGAGTGAAATAGCAATGGGCGTAAAAGTGGATTAACGATCAGTTCAAATGGGATTGATCACGTGCCGACCAAGGGCATGAACCAGGAACCAACGGTAAACTAGGACAGAGGTGTAGTTGCACAATTGCAGTTGCTCTCAGAAGGATCCGTTTTGTCTGGACAAGGTAGCTTAACAGCTTCGATCAGGTTCTTTTGTGCACACAAAAGCGGTTGATACAACCGACTGCTGATCGCCTTGGCAGTAACAAGGGTGTGGAGGCGCAGGTCTTTCGACTGGAGTGGAGGGACCCTGTATAGTATTCGAAAGGCATGGATTGGGTCAACCTCATGTCCACTATCAACAAGATGAGCCATAACAGAGCTAGTTATAGCCCCAGTACTGCCTCGACGCAACCAGCGTGGTAGGTGCTCCTTAATGCGCTTCGACAGTTGCCGCGCCGTTCGACCGATGTAAGTACCGCCACAGGCGCACTCGAACTGATAAATGACCATAGAAGCTGTCAGTGTCGGTAACTTGTCTTTGTTGTGAATACGAATGAGTGGCTCCGTTGAAAAGATACACCTAAGCTTGGCTGCTGGGAAAGTTGACTTGACAGCTGTTGAAAGGCTTCTAGTTACACGCTCAGCAGCGGCGTCTTCCTTGGATAGTCATATGAAAAGTTC